CTCTTTTTATACTAGCTTGTGTACTCTACTTGGGAGTTTCCTTTTCACCACAGGATGAAAGAGAAGCTCTGGTCATTCTAGTTCTTCACCTAGGTAAGGGGGTGCAGTAGAAATCATTTATTTTGGGTTTTTTTGAGGCAGCTTACAATCTAGTGGATCAGTATGTCAACTGAAAACATCAGTAACAGAATTAAATGCCCTAAACATGTTCCAGGACATCTAGGCACCTAAACAAGAGAAAACATTCCTTGTACAAAGAAAAAATAACAATAACTAAAGCTCATAAAGATGTATAGTGCAAAAATGTTAAAGGGCATAAGTTGTATGAAACCCCCTGTATAACATGACTAAAGCCCCATAAAGTAGTTTTGAACACTTTTCATTTGTATTGTTAAACCTCAAAACAGATCTCTGAAAATTTCAAGTATAACAATGGCTAAAATGTGCCAACTATTTTCCTTCATAAGTTATAGTGGTTCTACAAGAATCAAAGCACAGACGGGGCCAGGGAATGGCTCAGTAGAATAAGCACTTCCCTGGCAAGCACAAGGGCCTGAGTTCAATCCTCGGTTCCACCAAAAAACAAACAAACAAAAACAAAAAAACCACAAAGCCTAGAGTGTCAAATCAGTCTCCGGCATAGACTAAAACACTAGTTGCCTCCCTGAGAAAGTTACATCTGGCACATTCAACCCATGAAAAGATAGTCTACGTCCATGACAGTTAACAGCTTGAATCAATTGTGTGAACAACCCATTTAGAAAATTAAAAGCAAATGGGCAATGTGCACCACAGTTCAAAGCCTTCAATGCTGGCCAAGTATGAAGATCCCAGTTTTACAATGCACACCTGGAGAACTTACTCGATGATTTTCACTGTAGACTTACAAAAAAGCAGGTGCAGCACAGCTCAGTACAACAGAACACAGCCAGCCGATATACTTTGCCAGGAGGTGCGCCTGCCTCAGTGATGGGGGAGCTACATGGTCTGGCTATTGGTGTAAAGAAGTATGGCCCTGCGCACGGGCCACTGAGCAGAGGTGAGTATTCTTGAACCCACTAGGCAAGAACACCTTTTGAATCTGGCTTTGGGGAGCCTTCATCGAGCGCTTAGAGCAGAAATGCCAGTGTGTTTCTTCCTCACTCCACGGTACAAGTCAGGGCACCTGGTTGTGCTCAACCAAGAAACCTGGACATATGACACGAACCTTAGGTAACTTGTGCTGCACCTCTGAGAGGATTTTGAATTTAAGGAGGACAATAAAGTGCCCATAGTGAATCCTCTTAAATATCTCAGGGCCAAATTAGGCATTTCATTACTCACAGCCAGGGAAAACCAGGTCTTGAACAGTTTTTAGTCTACGTATGGCCACAAAATAAGGGGATTGACTAGAGTTGATCAGAAGGACCATTCGCCATGATTTACTCCCTAAAAA